GCTTTTTCTAGCCTGAGTTGGGCAGATGAAGATCAATTGAAAACTGCTTTATCTGGAGCTTCCTATAAACTTTAGAAATCTTTGTATAAAAAGGTGACATGCTGGCAGTCTGACAAATGTTCATAACTCTTAATAGTTTTTAGGAAGCAGATATGTACTGTAAGTGATATACTTTTTTGGATGGTATGCAAAGTGCAATAGCATTATTTGTGTGTTTTTTCTTTATTTGGGTAAAACAAACCTGGGCATCAGGCCCTTCACCCCAGGTCTGGGAGTCCTCCAGTGCCTTCAGATCCTAAAACCAAAAGGGGCATCATCTCAGGCACAAGTGTCAGTGTGTCACAAACAATTGTAGTTTGAGACTTATCTTTCTAGCAGGTATATTTAGCTCAATCTAAGACGTGCAGGTGCCTGAACTTCTTAAAGGGCATTCTTTTTCAATTAACAGTTTTACATGCTTTCAGTTAAGGGAGAATGCTGGAAAGTCGAAAGAATGTTGGAATACACACTCGCTGTCATGATGTCCAGACGTCTGTGGCAGCTTCAAGGGGAAGAGAGAGAGAGCTGTGCTCCACTGGGGAGGAACCTTGTACCTACCTGCTCCCTCTGGTACAGCACGTGGGTCTCCTGCTGCAGGATGTTCTCGTAGAACATGGAGTAGGAGTCGAAGTTCCTGCGCTCTCTCTCCATCACCGAACACGCCAGGGATGTAAGGCATGACTGCAAATGGGCTCTGGAGAAAGTCAGCTGAAAACAATCAGCAGGGGACATGATGTTTAAGATTCTTAAATGCTTTGGCTAACAGGTACAGATACATTTCTTCAGAACATTAAAAAGGTTTCATAACTTGGCAAACAGGCCAAATAATGACTTCAAAGTATTAAATGACTCAAAGGATTAAATGACTCCAGCAGTGAAAGCTAATTCAAAACAACTGATATAAAAAGTAATGGAATAATATAATGAATGTAGAAACCAATGTAAATGAATATTAACAATAAATACGCACTGTATCTACCAAAAATGGTAGATGAAGACAAATCAACCTCACCCTCTCGTCATCAGTTTCCTCACTCTGCGCCATCAGCTGCTGCACAAAATTTTCAACTATATGTGGTCGCTCAGGTGAAAAACCTTGCTTCATCGCTGGGTACTTCCACAGTTCTAATGATAAACAACACAATCTTATTGGTAAACCACAGTTTGCAGAGCAAGGGTAGAAATGCTCATACCACCAGTGAAACCATAATATTTCCACCTTGCATTAAAAAAGAGAAAATATGGGACATCAATTTGCAATGAGGATTTGTAAGAATGTAAGTATGATCTAGGACGATATTTAAGTGAATTATTTACAATGTTTCACCAGCACGTGCATCTAGTTTCTTAGTTGTACAGTGTTTCTTACAGTAGGACTATGTAGGACTATTTGACAAAGTTACAGTAAAACTTTTAACTTTTACAGTAAAAGTTTTTAAACTTTAAGATCAAAATAAAAACATCTGCAATTACTTTTTTTATCAAGTACTGCAATAACATAAAAGAATATCAAGTACTGGCAGGCTCTGAGATGCAGTTTACATGGCATCAAGGCCCACTGTCTCAGTGCCAAGCATACCGGTGGGCAGGCCTGTGTCCTGCCTCGCTCGTTCAGAAATCACCATGGTCAGTTCCCTCGTGATCTTCTTCTGCACGTCGCATACCATTTCAATCTCAAGGCTTTCCAGCAGCTTTTGAACCTGGAAGCACACAAGCAGTTTGTGTTTCACTATTGATTCCCAGGAGGCTCATGGGCTGACCCTGTCATTGACAAGTGACCAATGAAAATAGTCCCCATGTAGTTTTCTTCTGTTCAAGATCTGTTCAAGCTCAGTTCTTTCAGCCAGTCACTGTAGGACGTTCATTCCGGTCTAGGAAACATCTGGTTTCTATTCGTTCACCTAATATTACAGCAGCAATACTCTTATAATTTATAAATTGTAAATCCACACAATATTCATGTTTGTATATTGTCTTGATGCACTGTCTGCACTTTGTGTTTTTACACTTGTTTTAACAATCGAGAGACTTTCTGTAAGTAAGAATTCCATTGTACCAGTACATGTACCGGTTACATATGGCAATAAAGTTCAAGTTCAAGTTCTAAATGAAGTATTATTATCTTCTATTCTAACAATTCCAGAATATATATAATTTTTGCTACATTATAACTGATTAGTGATTTTTATTAATTAGGAAAATCAGGAATTTCTGGAGTCTTTTTTCATATAATTACGTACAGTATAATTGCCTGGTTCAGTTTTGCCACCCTTTTAATGGATGGGCACCCTATTAGAATGGGTATTGGCCACTTGACTTTGTGTGGGAAGAGTGCTGTTAACTGTCCATGAATCACACATCATGAGTCTTCAGGAACAAGTGTTAGAATACTATCAGGCCCTTGTTTATCTCTAGTGTTTCTAGCATCTATACACTTCTAAGCTACTACCATTTAATTTAGACATTTGTCTTTCCTCACTTTAGGGCAAACTGTTAATTGCGTCTCTGGTAAATGCCTCAGTAAAATATTTTTTGTCATTCCCCTTCCAAGTTTCAGCTCTACACAGCTATTGAAACAGGAGTGCTGTCTGTGTACAGTACCTGGTGCTTTTTGATGTCCACTTCTGAAGCTCCCACAGGAGGGAGGACGGGCTGGGAGTCAGAGACCAGCCTCTCATATTCCTCCTCTTTCCCCAGCTGTCGAGCAAGGGCTCTCATGGTGGGGTACAGGATTTCCACTCTGTAACAAAGAGCCTAGCACAGTAAACCCAGGGCTGGGGAAGCAGCAAAAGAGGCTACAAGAGCCTGATTCCTACAAAGCTCTAACAAGCTAACAATACAAAACTCCACTAGAGCATTGCATTCCAATGAATCCATAATTATGAGCCCACTTCTTCTTGCTCAATTACACAAGTACACCTCTGTTTCTAAATAACTATTACTTTTGCTGTACGTGTGCCTACCAGAAAGCATAAAAGACCACAATAGCCAAAGGATTTCAAACAGGAATATAATTTTGACATGTTCTGGTTCAAGGAATAAGTGATTGTTTTTTAGATCTGTCCCTTTCACAAAAAATAGAACTGAACCTTGTTGTCTTAGTTCAAGTATATTAACTTGAATGTTCAATACGTCACATTGGGTTCACCTCAGCTTTCTGTATGACAAGCCATTGCACAATAGTCAGATATTTTACCTCACCTTCTAGAAGAAATTCAGAACACACCCAAACAATAAAGAAGCTCCCAGGACACAGGGAGAGCCGTCTACAGACAAACAGGCACAGTCACACACCCTACTGCTCCTGCTCTGTCACAGTTTAACTTGTTCTCATCCTCGAGGCCTTTGGAAGCTGCCAGAAACACGAAAGGCAAGTGGGAGCTCGCTGTGAAGACAAGGAGGCTGACCTGTACATCCTGGAGAACTGCTTGTAGAGTGAAAGAGTGTTGACCTGTTGGACTCCCAGCCGCTGTCGTCCCCAAGCCTCCTTCAGCACCTCCAGCTGCTTCCACAGCAGCAGGAAGGACTTCAGCACCGAGTACATCTCCACTGGGTCCGCTGCTGCTCCTCCATCTACTCCAGCAGCTTTCGCAATCTGCTAGGATTGCAAAAAGCCATCAACTCCATAAAATTGAGTTTTTTTTAACAAAAAAAAACAGGAACTGTAAATCTGACTTTGATCTGAGCTGGACTCAGAAAGTATCCTGCAACAGACCATGAGACAAATGTAAAAGGGAAATAATTTCCAGTAGTGGTGGCTTTAAGCATGTTCACATCCATTAGACACTCTGTGACTGTGAACATTTTTAGAAAAATGCCTACATCTAATCATTTTACTGTAGCTCTTAATGTCTAACTTTGTTTAACTCTTGCTTTTGTTCTGTCTGTTTACTGTGTGACTCTTTTTTCTTTATTATCTTCTCATAATATTTTTCTGTGTCCAATTGCACAATGCTTTGAGTCTTTGAAAGAGAGCTTATACAGTATATAAAACATACTATTATTTCCAAGATGCCACTCAGGTGAAATACTGTAAATGAAACAAAAATCAAAAGAAGTTAATATTCTTTTCTGAACATCATAATAACTGGATTGAATAGTATACTCCAAATGAGATTTAATTTTTTTCCATGGTCAAAAATGTAAGTAAAAATTCAGATTTCGGTTAGTAAAAAAAAAAGTTAAAGCTTTTATTTCTTGACAACTCACAGACTGGGTATGAATTTACTGTGAAAACATATTTCTTGATGCTGATTAATATTACAGTACAGTAGATATACATTGCTATGCTAAGTATTGACCGGGAATGACAAGCCTCAGAGATGACCTCGAAGAGGCTATGTGGAAGCTACTAAACCGGATACAGGGCCGACCTGTGTAATGGAAGTGTTGATGAGGGTGGTGTGTTCCTCTAGAAACAGCAAACATTTTGAAACTTACTCTTAAAATGTTAACATTAAATCTGCCTCAGGAACTTAATGTTAGCCAATGAGAGGGTAAGAACTGCTTCATCTTTTGAAACATATCGCTTAATTTGTGATAATAAAAGATCATCCTCTAAATAGTTTAAAAAATTTTTGGTTTCTAGATATTATACATGCAGTATTACTTACATTTTTTAAAAAAAATCTCCATACTGTTTGACTGAATGTGATTGAAAAGTGCTTTGGATAAAAGCATGTGGTACATGGATACCTGTTAATGTATGTTACAATGTTTTTATACATTTTGTGTCAGAGGTATGGTATGTACAGTAAGTCTCTCATTGCTTTACAGAGGAAATATGTTGAGCAATGAAATGAAATATGAGGCACACCTGTGCTTCACCAGCTTGGCAGGTTTTGTCACCTTCCCAGCCCTGCAGACTAACAAAGGTCACTTCCCGGCTGCTTTGCAGGACATCCTCCATCAGCAAAGAGACTCCCAGGATCTCCCCATTGGCCACCTTCCGACTGCGGTCACTGAGACCACTGAGGCACAGCTGGAGAGACAGGCACACCCAGGACAGTCTGTACTGCAGGAGTACTCAAGGAGAGTGTGGCCTTAATCACCCTAATCAAACATCAAAGTTCAAACGCTGTGCAAAAGGCAAATTACTAATAGACAGACAACCATAGACATCCAAAGAAGTTATTCTGGTCATCCTGGTTACATGATTACCCACATTGAGACAAAGATTACTATTGAACTACACTCAGACATACATGCATTTTAACCAAACTAAGTGTCATTTCTAAATCAAGACTATTGAAAAACAGAGCAGGTATCATTTGCATCTTTTGATCAAAGATTGCTTTTTCATTTTTTTCTTTTGCTCTTTACAAAACTACTTAATTATGATCAGTTTAGACACAATCACATTCTCTGAAATCAATCCAGAGAAGAGTGGCCAGATACATTCTAGGGCTTTAGGGAACGTACTACACTGACAGGTTGAAACAACTGAACCTTTGTGGTCTTGAACAGAGACGATTACAAAGAGACATGATACAAGTATTCACAATTCTCAAAGGCACTGATTGAGTTGACCCGGAAGCTTTCTTCAGAATGAACAGTGAAACAGAAACTAGAAGATACAAGTGGAAGCTCCACAAAAGTGCACTTAAGCAGGAGGCACTTTTTTACCCAAAGGGTTGCAAGAGTATCGAACAAATTATTCAGCATTGCTGTTGAAGCTGACAGCCTGGCTGTCGAGAAGATCCATGGATCAATTAACTACTAACTACCAAATTGGACAGATGGTCCGAATAGCTCCTTTCCTTTGTAACCTTTATCTTTATAAATCTACATTTAAGACAAAAATTAATCTCCTATAGTACAAGGATCTTTTTGGTAGGGGAATAAAACATAAAAAAATACATTATTTGCACTGTTTATCATTTTAGTACTGTGTGGCGGGCCAGCAAGTCAATGATGTGAAAGATATCTCTGAACTCCTTAATCATAGGTGCAGAAAGAGGTTCCTGTACGGCTTGTATATAAAAGCATATTATTTAAGAAAGGAACCCAAAATCAAATAATGCTGTCGGAAAAGTGAACTTCAAAATGACAAGTGCCGACGGCTCAAGAAGACTGATTTACAACCGTGGAAGTGAAGAGTCCTCACCTGCACGTTGTACTCAATGGGCAGAACGCTGCAGATAGCAAAGGGGAATGATCCGGACTGTGCAAGAAAACTTCTCCATGGATACATATCTCGCGCCTGTCGCCAGAAAACACATAATCAACAACTTGGAATTGTATATCTAAGTACTATGATCTTGGTGAGAAAGACAGCAGGTAGGGCCACAAAATGTTTTACTGACTTTGTGGCTAATCTGCTCCAGTGGCTCAGGCACTGTGATCTGGGAGCTGTACAGGTTGTGGCTCACACAGTTGCTCAGCACAGGCAAGGCGTGGCTCATGTTGTCAGTCACTGTCTGATAGGCTGCGCTCTTTCCCACTGAAAGGAAGGCTTCCCTAAAGGCAAACAGATTAAAGACATGAACATAGCTCCCAGTGTGAGACATTGCTACACATTTACAAATGTGCACGAAACACTCTGTTGCTGTTTAGAAACAAGATCACATGTTACACAATTTGCGTTTTCTTTGTTTTGGAGTGTGTTGTGAATGAAATAAATATAGTGCATCACATTTTTTTGAGATACCACATATTTAAACTAGCAAAGGAACCTTTTCTGATTATACCCTTTGTTAAAATTATTGCTCTGATATATAAAACAATGTATTTTATCTGTTTGATTCCACATTAGTGTAAGTGTTTCCACGACTATAAGCATAGTAGTAATTCATTTTACTAGATACTGTAATACTACATGATAGAATCGTTACCATCATGTAGCCCAATCTCATCAGATCTCAGAATTTAAAAAAAAGCTGGACCTGGTCAGTACTGGGATGAGTGGTGGATATGCAGTAATGGTGTTGGTGAACCAAAAGGTGGCACCTCTGGACTGGACTGACTAAACCTGCACCACTGTAAAGCAACTGGAGACACTGGGCAGGAAGATCTTCCATCCTTCAGATGAAATGTTAAACTGAGATCCTGGAAACATGGTCAATAAAATTCCAACGGCACTTGTATAAAGAGTAGGACCATTAATCCTGGTATCATGGCTAACGTCCACTCTGCTCTTGTGAGGTCTGTTATTCGCAAAGGTCTCCCTTTATCCAGTTGGTAAAGCAATTTCTCACATCCGCTCCTCATCTGCTGTGCAGCAGGGCTGCTGGTGAATAACAGCTGCTGCACGTCACTCAGGTGTGCCCTGCAGTTCACAGCTGGTTGAGGTGGGTGGCTCTATGTGAAGGCTGCTTTGGAATACTTTGAGATGAAAAATGCAGTGTAAATGTATGGAATTCATCTTATTAATTATAATGAGAGACATTTTAGGCTCTTTTGCTGTCAAGTAGCTGCTTTATCACCTGATCAGATGGCGCACAGCCGCATCAAACTGCAGGAACATGACCTCCCTGCGGAGGAGCAGGAGTTGGCCTACTTCCTGCGGACTAGTTGGATCATGGAGTTTGTCAATCTGTTTTTGGATCTCTCGCAGCTCAGCACCTTGGAGCAAGCAAAAAATGCGAGCAAGATGTTTTTAAATCCTATATTTTGCTCATAGAACAGTACGCACATTTTAAATATCAGGACCATTCTTCAAAAAGCAGAATCATACAGTACATGCAGTATTCCTAAAGATCAGAGGTTTTCACAGGCATGGGATTTTCTTGTCCATTTTATTAGACGTTAATTGACTGATAAATTGTATGACGTATTAAAGACTTAGGGGTAACAAAGTTCTGTCCTAGTGTAGGAGATCAAGTACCTGGGTAACCTCTCCGTAGAAGTATCCGACTTGTAAAAGATGTGAGGGGTTAGCCTCCCAGAAAACTGCAGGAGCTTCTGTGACTTCAGACAGCCACAAGACACTCTGTTTTCAGCTCTCCTTATTTCATATCATGCACGACACCTCAAGACTGATGAGATGAAAAGTGTAATCTTTTCTACTGAAAAGTCATTTTTCCACACAAGCTACAAAAATTGGTTTTCTGGCAGGAGGCAAATGAATGAGTGCAGTATTATCAGGAACTCAGCTAAATGCCCGAATCATTTTCAACACCTCTGCCTAGTCAATATATCCATCACAACATGCATACAAGCAGTATATAGTGTGCACATTTTTTTAAAACTAATGGATTGCATTTCTGGATAATAAGTGAAAGTACTGTAAGTCACTATACATAATGTTTATACTGTATTGTATTGTTCTGTTTTCTTTACCAATGCCTTCAGTCCCTCCCCAGTCGGCTGTAAACTGTGTGTGCCTTCTGAAGAAAGCGGAGACATTTCCCAGGCGAGCAAAGCTGACCAGATAATGGACGATGTCGTGGAATGCTGCCACGATCTGTAAGGTCTGCTGTAGAGCTCTGTGGCAGGCCTGGCACAATAGGTTAAACAAGACATCAGATAATTTCTGCACTGACTTCATCGTTGTCAGCGTGTGTTATGATACCTGCTCAGTAAAATCCCTGGTGAGACTTTCAAATTCCAAGTTCACATTAAAGGGAAGAATTAAATACGTCATATTTGTGATGTAAGAAACCATGTGCCTCCTCTAACCTACGACTCTCCTGTAGTTGCTGTGCGACTTGCTGCAGAAAAACAAACCAAACAATAGATGTCTGTTATTAATGCACACCATTATGTAGAACAGCTTGCTTGATCCTCATTATGTGTTGGTATGAAGGCTGTAGGGTTGGGTTGCAAAGATAACTTGACTAAGTCAAAGGGATATAAAAAAAATGGTGAACATTGAGTGCTATTAAGCTGTCTCAAAAATTATTCATTAGGTTTTGATTAACCTCATCCTTAAATATGTTGTACCAAGACAATACTGGTTGGTGGACAAAGCTTTATTGTAAAAAAAAAATACAGGTTTTATGACAAAGAACACTTTTCAACAGCCTCCTCAGTGCTATCAAGACCCAACACACTCTAATAATATACAGTAAATGTCCTTTAGTTCAAGTAGGCAGGTTCGCCAGCATGCATAAGTTGCAAAGGAACAAGTAAAGTTTATTCCATGCTGAAAAGAGAAGAAAAGCAACACAACTTTTCGTCTGTGTGACACACCTGAAGAAGGCTCCACAGCCAAAAACGTGGAATAAACCTTTGGAATAAACCTTTACTTGTTCCTTAAAGTCCTTTATATACACAAACATTCTGCTAATTGCTCACCATATGAGAATGTGGAATGCAAACTTTAAACCCCTCAACATTTTATTAACTACTTAAGTAATTTATTATCACCCAGTGTATCTATTTACAATAATTAATGGCCTGTAGTGGCAGGTTATCTGACAATTGAATAAAAACCTTTACAAAGCCTGGGTATAACAGGGGCATTGAAGGCTTAGTATAAAAAGATAATTATCTTAAAAGAAGTTGATATGGAATTTAATTTTTACCCTTATCGTATTTTCAGGAGCACTTTTAAGGAAAATGGCAGGAAAGAAGCATAGAAGCTACTCACCGATTCATCAAGAGATTTGAACATCATTAAGACCTCCGAAAAGTGTGGGATGAACCACAGGTTGAGAAAAGTCTTCCCATCTGCAGAGAATAAACATCGGGGCCGAGGCTGAAAATTCCTAATCATGAAAACAAGAGAGGTAGTGAGGCCCAGGGCTGCAGAACACCAGCAGGACATACAGTATGTCTGAGATAAATCGACTTCTCACTAACATTTAAAAACATGGGTATATCAGACATACACCATCCTGACACAAGTGTGTCTTTACGTTACACTTGGGTTTAAACTTTCGTTAAATTAAGAGACGTCACAAGGAATCAGACTGAGAACTTAATATATTAAATCACCGCAATATAAGATATAAAAGAAAATTTAAATATAAACTGCATTTAAAAAGCTGATTCATTTAGTGTATGGATGACTGTAGCGGCAAAATTGAGATGTTATCTTGTTAGGAGAAACCGAACTAAGTACAAATATAATGAAAATGATGTACTGTAAGTAAAAAAATGACTTTAATAAAGATGTTTAAGGCTGTCTGTCCAAAGCTAAGGGAGAGTTACAGCTCCGAAGCAAATTCAAGGCCTAAGAGGGAGATTTAAGGCCTAAGGTTTTTTTTTCTCAGTTCCTTTCTCCCTTGGTTTCCAGGTTTCACCTTTTAGTGATGACTCACAGACATTCACAGACAGTCTTGAGGGGATTTCAGATTTCATTTCTGTATTTAACTGCTAAAACAGAACAATTGCAGTTATATTACCAGCCTTATCTATGCGCAAGGAGAAAAGATGGGGTACAGACATAAACAATGACGACTCGCACACGGATGAACGCACCTGGGGTCTGAAATGAGGCCACGCTCACAGTCCCTCTCCCCTTTCCTCTCGTGTGGTTGTCCGACCATGAAGAACGAATCCCGAATGGAAGGGATGTCTTCCAGTAGTGCCGCCAGGTTGCTGTAATACTCAACAATCTGACCACGCAGAGAGTACTGGGACATCCGCAGACTAAACCTAAAATACATTAGCAGAGACAGGGGCAGGTGTCAGGGCCATCAATGCATCTTCACTTCCTGAGACAGTGCTGTGTCCATTCCTCAGATCTCAGCTGGCATGACCTGCAAACACTTCAGCTCCAATGCCTGCACAGGAATAACTGTATATTCTGCTCCTGTAAATCTCTATCGAACAGTTCAGAACCTAGGGGTAGAGGAAGACTTTTGTTTCACAGTTTATTTTAGTTAATATAACGTTAATAAAACTGCAAGATAATTAAAACAAGCTGCGCAAGTCTCTAAGGGATGCCCTGTAGATCTGTGTTACAAAGTCACACTCCTCTGCTTTTTCTGTCAAGTGAGGATGATCGATGACAAAAAGGGATTATCCACAATACTGCCTAACTGTTTTTGTACATTCCAGTCTTGAAATGGTGAAGTTTTTGCATGCCAACACTTTTACAACAGAGGAGTCCAGGGTTTAGGGCTCATATAGTCTTCTCTCTAGTGTGTAAAACTAAGATTTCACTATCTACACAGCCACTGATAACATAATGTAAAACAATATCTAATTTATTTTGAAAATGTGGACTACATTCAGTTATTGTGATATTAAAAAAACTTACTTTTGACAGAATTCCAAAATTAAGCCTCTCTTGACCTTCTCTGTTTCTTCCTGTAGATATAAAACCATGGACCATTAGCCTGCACACATACTGTAATTTGATATCACAGGCTTTGGAAATGAACCTCAATGTTATTCATAAACTCTGTAATAGTTCAATTTCTAAGCTCTGTACGTATGAAATGAAATAAATTAGTCTTTAAAAAATGTTTGAAAAAAACGTGTTGGTCTTCTTATTAAGGTGCACTGTGAGAGGAGCAGCTGCTGGAGTACAACGCATGATTACAATAAACAGAAATGTGAGAGGGCAGTGACTCTCGTCTGGATCCCATTTCCCAGAATGCAACAGGGAGTGAGCAGCTGCCCTTAGTCACCTGATTAACTGGTGCAAGACAATTCGCCACGTGACAATTTAAAAGTGCAGGAAGCTCAAGCCTTCAGGGTCAGTCATTATCTACCAGGACTGAGGATGGGGGAAGATCCTCTGCCATGCAAGCTGCATCAGAAGCTTAATGTCTGGTAAAACTACTTACAGGATTCTTCATTATTGTACCCATGGCTTGTTTTCTTTTTAGAAATGTGTTGAGCATCTCATCGCGGAGACCCAACTTTTCCAACTGAACAGATACAAAAGCTTCCTGCTCCCCTGGCCTGTAGCTGGCTCTGGTGGGGGAGAGGCCTGGCACGGGGAGCTGGCTCTCTGGATCTTCACCGGCTCTGGACTCGCTCCTGCTTGTCCAGCCTCCTTCGGCCCAGGAGCTGGGCTGGCCTGTGGGCAGCTGCTGGTGCGAGAGACCCACAAGAACACACAGCAGAATTCATGTCAATCAGCCAAACTACGCAGCCAACACTTCCAAACATGCATCCTCAGAGACTTCTCAGCAAAATAACTAAGTCAGATGTGCTAAATGATCTTTGATACAATAGTGTAGTCGATGAGAGAACAACCTGTATGAAGGTTTGAGAGAAATAGTTGACTTACTCTGAGGATCCAAAGTCAGGGTTTGTTTAATTTATTTTGTAACAGAAAATTATAATGCAGAATAATTATTGTAGTACTTCTTTTCAACAATGTGGCTCCAAACTATCAAATCTGAGAAATAACTTTTTAGTATTGTGTTTTAGCAACCGTAACCGTAAACCCTAACCTTAACCCATAACCCCTAATCCACTTCAGAAAGGAACTAAACTTGAAGCGTGATGCTGCTTTAAACTTGCAGGTACCTGGTAGGTTATAGGAACCACTGTTGTACCAAGGAACCTAAACAGCCAACAACCTAAACCATCTCTGATAACTTTCATACAATTGCACACTGCTGTTGGGGGAAACTCAGTCACAGTGTGCTTGTGACATGGCCAAGGTTTATATACATGCCTAATATGGCCCAAGACAGCACTGAGTGTGTGCCTTTATCACTCATCTGCTCAACTTTTTTGTTTTAAGATCACCTCTATTCGACTACAGCTCCCTTGGCAAGTCCTGAAAAGAGCATTATACAGTACCTTTTCCTGTAGAGACACTGGGGAATGTGACCAGTAGCAGAAACATGCCTGCTTGACAGCACTCAACAGCGCATTCTTCTGAGTCACCTGACAAGCCAGTGTGACCTGGAGGTTCTGTATTCCAGACATACTCATCAGCTGTGGAGAATAATAGAGATAATAAGCACTGGTGGGAAGAATTATTCAGAACAGCAGTATGTCTTGAGGTCATCATCAGGAAAATGTCCCTTCATCCTTATCAAATATCTTAGGATATATTATATATTTGGGTTCTTTTACACAGCAAAAGGGTACAGTATGTACCTACCTGTTAGTGACACAGTATAACTGATAATAAACCAAAGAAGTGCCCATATCTTTAACACCAAAGGTAACATTAATTCAGCAAATAAAGTAATAGGATAAATTTCACTAGGAATGACAACACCCAAGATCAAAGCGTAATTAACTATTATGGAGCGGATATTTGGCTTAACCCGCCTGGCTGAGGGCCGACCTCCTGGCCATAGGACGAGGAGGCCAGGACCCCCACTCAGGGTAACCAAGGGGTAACTGCAGAGGTGGAGTTGGGATGGAGGTGGGATGAAAAAGCTGCACGCGAGGGAGAGAGATATTGCATTGGTATTTATAGTGTTTGATGGAGGAAGGATGAAGAGAGTGATTGCTAATAACTGACGGCTGGGAACGATTGAGAGTGATTGTTGTCATCCCTCCCGAACTTTTGTTATATAAACTCCATTTAAGACAGAATGAGATTCAGAAATAGCTGTGCCCCTGTAATAACTGTGAAACAAAAGTGCAGACAGCAAGAGTTTAAAAGCACTTTAGAGATGATGTGTTGCTTTCAATATTTTTTATTATTAGAAAGAATAGCCTTGTAAACATGTCATGTGGTTGGGAAAAGTGTTTAACTATGGAGTTATTGAAGGTTGAAATGGTCAAATCACGTCAACAGTGAATATACTGTAGCTAACCGGTGAGGATGGGCAGCATTTCTCTACACCACTAGCAGGCAGGTGCAAACATATGGCTATTTGTGTGATGCTTTTAAAAGGACAAGTTTATTTAAGCCAACTCAAAAAGAAATTTGCTATGCAAACTCTAGGAATGGGAATCATACTATTTTATTTACTGGGCATTTCAAAAGATAGTGAAGGGAGAGCAAACATTGAATTCATGTAAGAATTTTTCCAGATTACTTGTACAACAGCTTCTTCAGTCCGAAAGCTGAACTTCCCGATCTGTTTCTCATCAAGCTCCTGGATCCCCAGGAGCAGAGTGGATGGAGAATACCTGCAAGAGTTCAGGCAAGAAGCAACTTGTTTCTGTAAAAGAGGTCTGGATGATTTATACTTTTCAAAATATTTATACAGCCAGAAATCAGCACCTTCAACCCTACTAAGACACCTAAATTTGGCTCTGCAGATGTACATAGCAACAACAATGTAATTACATTGCAATAAAATACTGTATAGCCACATATTTTAATATACTGTATAAAATGTCATTACACAGTTGTTGGTCTTACATTTCCACAACAGGCATCTGAAGAAAGAAAATGGAAATGTCCAAGGACAAGTAATTCTGTTTTTAAAGACCAAAGCATTTGACCATTGAGAATGGTACAATTATGACTGATTTTTTAAATTTTGAATTTTATCTTGTATATCCCACATTATAAAGAAATAATATAAATATTGTTTTCCACTATTTGACGTTAATCTCAAATTTGTCCAAAAAAAGCAAATAAGCAAAACAAAAACCATAAGGTATGTACTGTATTAAGTTATTATCAAAACATCTTTTGATGTTTTAAGAAAAAGCTTTTATTATAAAATAAATGTATTAAAACTTTTTTAATACAAAATAACCCTAATCCAAAACTACAGAATCTATCTGGATTTTGCATGTACTCCTTGAGGTTGACATGGTGGCACAGCAGCTACAGTAGCTTTGCTCCCTTACAGCAGTGGGGCCCTGGGTTCAAATCTGGGTTTGTGTGTTCTCCCTGTGTTCATGTGGGTTTTCACCAGGTCCTCATATTTTCTTGTTTAACTGGTTTACTGAGAAAACCGGCTCTGGTGTGAGTGTGTGTCTGTCTTTTGTCTGTGTGTGCCCTGCGATGGATTGGTGTCCCATCCAGAGTATATCTTACATTGCACCCGATACTTGCTGGGCCAGGCTCTGGTACAGTAAATCCTTTACTGGATCAAGTGGTAAGAAAAAAGGTTTTCTCCAGGTGCTCTGGTTTCCACCCCCCTCTCAGACATTGTGTACTGTCTACGTCATGTCATGTCTGTAATTTGTCTGTGTGTGTGCGTCATGCGTTGGGCTTCCCATCCAGGGTGCAGTCCAGCCTTGTGCCCTTCAGTGCAATGCGAAGAATGCACCTCCACCCCTCCTCCCGTGATGTCAGATACCTGTCCACACTGCTGTCATCCTGCAACAGAGCCGTGATGAAGAGTGGGGGTGGCTGCTCGGCCTTCTCCTTCAGCACTGCAAACTCAAACTGCACCGGCCGCAGGTACAAGTGGAACTCCCCGAAACCCATCTCTTCAGCGAAGCTCCTGTACAGCCTAGGGAGTCAAAGGCAATGGTGTCAAAGGTGTTATGAAACATCTTTTACATTGCAAATTTCTGACGTTTAGAAATCATTAAAAGGTTTTGAAGACCATTGTAATAACAGTAACATTAAGGGAAACCTCTGCTGGCTAAACTTTATCTCAGAATTTAGATTCCCTGACAAAGCCCTTTCCAAAGCTCTTATAACTTCCTTTGGCAAAGCACATGGTACTGAACATGGAAAGCATCTCAACTGGGAAAGCTGTGCAGTCTCTGAGGCGGACTCCATTAAGCGATGGCGGATTGTGACCAACTCCAACAGTCTACAAAATGTCTCCACAACAAACGCCTGTCTCTCTTTGCCCTGTTTCTTCTCCTCCTCCTGAGCCGTCTGGATCACTGAGAAACCAATGTCTCGAACAAAGAATGGATCTTCAAAACACACATCTGAAAATAACTGGAAAGAGAAAAAGGAATGAGGTTTTGACTGGTCGAACCATGACCACAAGCTAAATTAAAAGGAATATTATAGAATTAAAATTCACAGCAAAAACAGGTAAAAACAGAAGAGTTAACATTATATTTTCCTGGTACATCGAAAAAGGCTGCATTGAAATAATTGACATCTTTGAAATAGATTGATGAAATTGATTTCTTTTTTTTACTGTTTTCCAATTCACAATAAAGAGACTCCACAATATAAGAAAAAATCAACAAAATACATCCTCTAAAAATGATTTGAAAGTGAAAACCACAATTCTAAAACTTGCTTGTGGTTTTCCTGCAATATTATATGTTTAGTGTTTATAGAAAAGAACCCACATCTTTCTGGATCTGTGAACTGTAGCAGCTCCCAGGAGATTCCAGGGCTTGCCATTTCTCCAGGGCCTGCTGTAAGAGTCTCTGTTCCAGGGCCACACTCTGACCAACAGTACTGGGCCTGTATAGCTGGCACATCTCTGTGTAGGCCTGGCTCACGGCCTGGTGAACTTCAGAGGCCAGACTAAGGGATGGGTGGAACTCCAGCAAAAAAACATTCTTCAGGGCTGGGCTTCAACACAAAACACATAGAAGTTACACAGCAGGTTTTACTTAAATGGATGCCAGCTCTGTACATTGTATTATTAATGCATTATAATGTAAAATCAACAAACATCTATTTAAATGGAAATAGGGAGCAGAGAAATAAGGTTTACAACCATATGCACATTATGTGTGTACAGTGCAGTGTACATTCAGAAAAACATAAGGAATCGTGTTGATCCATGTTAGCCTTTTAAATACTCATTTTGCAGAAACTTCTACTTGAACTTTATCACGTAGGACTCTTGACTTACCAGCTATTATTGATTGAAACCAGCTGCTTGGGGATGTAGTTTGGTGGCAGTCCATACTCATTTGCAGTTCCTTTCTGCCCGTCTCTCCAAATTCTCTGCAGATACTGACGTTGTTCATCTATCTGAAATTTCAAATATACAGCAAGATAAAGAGTTTGAAACATTCTTGAATTTGTTTGGAATGTCTAGAAAATAAGCAGTAATTTGTCAAATTTACATAACTGCAATGTGATAGCTAATCACGAAAAGTGCTGATAATCTGTAATAACAGACAAAGAACACTGAATTAAAAAGAAGGACAACTTTGTTGACAACATGAGTCCCTCCTATGCGTTCTGCCTGCACTTTCTCTCTCTGCACACCTGCTGCAATGTCAGAGAGCCTGTAAAGTCATCTCTCCCCACGCTGCTGACACAGAACCTGGAGTGCCTGTTACGATATAAAGACAAGGCCACATTGAGATTCTGATGTTGGGCAGTGGGCACTTGAGGAGGGGGCTGGGAGAGGCTCACTCACTAGCTACAGTGTAGATTTTTTTTAATGATTCCAATCTGTTGTGCAGCTAATCTAAAAGTTGCAGTTAACAATCTATAGCTGGGTTTCATCCCTCTCTGCTCTTTTTCCAAACAAGGCCCCACGAATAAGCGAATCTGCACATGTTATACGTACTCACAAATGTCGAGACTCGGCTGTAGGGTAACGTTGAATTAGACTATTTTTCCTCTGCAGGACAGGTCTTTATCATAAGCAAGCCATACATAAAAGAGCTAAAATCTGCACTTAAAACGTTTGTCATAAGAAGGAATTTTATGATTAAAATAAGATTTAGAGAGAAAGTTACCACACATCATGAAGAAGAGCCTACCTGTTTGCTGAGTATCTGCCTAATGAGCTGCTGTCGGCTCTGCAGGCAGATAAGCTCCTCCTTGTAGGAAGAGACGAAGTATTCACCCTCCAGATCAAGCCGTGGCTGCTGGTGCAAGATGTCTGTTATAACCTGGGCCACTGCAAACCGCTCTCCAGCCTCCATCACGTGCTGGTAGGCCTCAAAATAGCAGTCAAGAAGCTACAGAAGGAGAACGGGCACATAAATAATCTAGAATAGATGCACAAATCACACCACCACTTGTAAGAGAATGTTAATGGAATATTTACTTACAAGTGAGAAACAAAACATGGAATATGATGGAGTACAACATTATAATACTACAAGCAGTTACATAAACACTAGGCAAATACTGGATAATTTTACTAAAAGAATCATTGCTCTTTGCTGTGGATGTATCCAAACTCAATTTGTTTTAGGGCAACCTAGGTGCTTTGTCCAAGTTCTTCATTACTTAACTGGGAAAATCTGTCTCCAGGAACTAAGCAGCTGACAAATAATAAGCTCAGGAGTGTCGACGCTGAAAAGTGGACTTCAGCTCCCCATCCTATTAAAATCCTTCATTTTAATTTGCTGATAGCAAATCTTTGCTATCAGCAAAGAAGACCCAAATTGAGGGCAGCCTCAGCTAAAATTTGAATGGGGCAAATTATACATTACAACATCACCTCAGACCTGGTATTATCTGCATACTGAAATCCACTGATATATATTTACCTGCTGTTTGCTTTTCAGAAAGGTCGCTTCACACGTCCACAGGTCAAGCAAGACTTCAAAGCGATCCACATCCACCCGTGCCAAGCACCGTAGGTCTGTTCCTGCAGACTGGGGCCTCCCTGATGGAAATATTTTTTGAAACGTCTCGTTTCTTTGTAGACACACAAAAGCAGCTATCTTTAAAAAACGTAACCTAAGAGCCCTTCTGTGCTTCTTGTGGGATTAGCACCACAAAGTTCACACAGAATTAGGCAAGAGCATGTGTTACTGTACGTCTGTGTTTAGAATTGGAGTCAACACTAAGAAAAACATGGTACCTTGGATGCAATTTCAAGTGCTGCTTTCAAGTGAATACATAAAATTGTTACAAATTAAAACACAACTTGGCTGCAAATGCAAGCTTTAAAAGTGAAAACAATGCCTTGCCGTTTGCAACAGCTCATTGACAGCCTCATCCTGTGTTTTTACCATATGGGGAGATCAAGTTATCAGTGCAACCAGGTAACGCTGTCAGACAATCAGCCATTGAACAGTACTGATTTAATCAGACCAGTTTGAAGAGAGCTATCCAAGCTGACAAGGATTGCAGTAAATACAAATATTTTGAAGGTTTTGCCTCACCTCTGTCTTTCCCAATGTAGTGAGAAGCCACAAGGAGCAGTGTGTTCTCCAGTTCATTCAGGTCTTTCAGAGCCACATCGTACATTACATACAACCCCCGGTGGTCCTGTGTGTGAATGGAGTCATCTTCTGTGCTGTAGAAATCATTGTAATTTTCAACGTCTGTAAACTCCATGAACTGTGCACAGTGTACCTGCAGACAGAGTAAAGCACAATGGGTGTTTTCAAAGGCATTTTCTGAAAACTATCAAAAACAAATCCTGGTAACTGAAATTCAAGGACTCTTTTCTTCTCTTTTTTGAGTCACTGAAGATTATAACACTAGTTATAGTCAAACTATATTGATAGGAGTCCTCAAGAGATAACACTCAAATGGCCACCAGCCACTGGGAAGGAGATGGATTTCATCGGGCAGAGCAATGAGCACTGGCTGCACTGCTCTTGTAATCCAAACTGTTACTTATGCAGAGTGAGGGTGAGAAAAATACCAGATGACTTGAGAAGGGAAAGCTTTTCAAGGAAAAGGTGGGCAGGCTTCCTACTCTTCTTGCTGATGTGGTAGTTTTAGTTTAGGTAAAACCAAGCTGATTAACTTAAAAAAATGAAAAAAAAAAAAACAAAAACAGACACACACCGATAATATATGTATACAGAGCTGTGGGGCGCAAAAAAAAAAGAAAAAAGTCACATGGTGGAAAAGTGTGTGTGTTCTCTTATATGTATAAGAGAGAGGTTAAAGAGAAAAAAGTTTTGGTTTAACAAAGTTATGGACTGAAATGATGGCTATTGTTAAAAAAAGGTGGAATTTAGATTTTATTTCTAGTATTTTAACTGTGTTGATTCAGTTTAACTTTTTGCTTTTTTGGTTCCAAATAAATAGAACAACTACTATCGATTCAAAAAATGCAAAGAAAAAATAGTTTGCATGAATTGATACTGTATCTGTATTATTAAAAAGGCACCTTATAGGAACTGTTCTTACAGTGTTCAAAAGGATAATTCATAGGAAACAGCAAAGCTTTTATTGAACTTGATCATTTTTCCTTGTATGCATATCACGTACTTGAAATGAACAAGAGCTACCTGCGGTTGTACTCCACTTTGTCGGCTCACAAGATATACATTTTTTAAATTGCAAACCACACAGAATACTGGTAAGAGATATTTTTGTCCTTGCATGTATGACTGAGACAGTAAATTGTCAATGCTTTAGAAAGGCTCTTAGTGGGTTTTTCCTGTCAGACATTTCAGTTCCTATGCCTTTCACGTACATTTTCTTTTATGCATTATTAAACATACAGCCATACTGTATGTGACAGCCAACACATGGTCTCTACCTAGTTGATTGATCATACTTGCATTAGTGAAAGAAACAGAATAGTGACTTGTCACCTTGTAGTCAGCAGGACTGCTGTGGGCGCAGTAGTGACTGCCCAGTCTATCTGGGGAGCCAATACCCCCTCTGGCAGCACTCATCCAGCTTGATTCCTCCGCACTGCTGCTCAGCTTCTCCCCATCCAGGCTGAGGCCTGCTGTGTCAAAGGCTAAGGTCCTCTCCACAGAGCGCATGTAGTTCAGGACCCCCAGGCACATGCGCTGAAACAGGGCCAATCAGCAAGACATAAAACTCACCCAACACACCTAGGCTGAATCTGCTGTTCACTGGACCATCCAAGTACTACCTTTTTGTCCAAATATGTTTTAAAAAACAGATCTCCAAATATAGTAGGTAGACTGCTAATGTAAACTAATGATGAGGGCTGAAAGATGAAGTCGATGCTAAATTCATGTGCACCCTTAAAATATAACTGAAAGTTGGTTTAAGCAAAAAAATATGAAAAGTATATTAATTATTGGTTGTATAAATAAATTAAAACATGCCAAAAGTGAAGACTAGCAGTGTTGGAATTGCCAAAAACAAATCTGTCCAAAATGATTGCATAATGTCCTCATTTGGAGCCAACTTCATGGACATAAAACAAAATAGCCTGTATTCTTCCAGTAAAATAAAAAAGGCTCAATTAAATTGCCAAATGTTATAATTTGTGAGACTGGGAGTCACCTCCGACACATACTGTTCTGTTGACTTAAGAGATACACAAGAACACTGTTTCACCTGTAGCTCTCTGATCCTCAGGTGGCGCAGGTAGAGGAAGGACAGGTATGCTCCCCTTATCATGACTGGGTCTTTACCACTTTCCTCCTGGCCATCATCCAGCCCTAGCAGCTGCATGGTCTCCATGTAGCTATAGCTGGCAAATTGCAACATGACATCAGCAAAATATAAATCATTGCAGAGTTCTTTATTTTCGCAATGTTGTAGAAAATCACACTGCTTTTACAAAAATAAGGTGTAATATTTAAGAGGTTTTTCAAGATTTAAATAATCTTGTAGAAATAACCACCAGTTAAAAATTGGAATTCCTAATAGTTTCATGAAAATGGAAAATAACACCTGACACAAAATGTCCTGTCAGTGACTCTGCTAAGGGAAATGGGAACAGCTGATTACTAAATAGCTGGATGTCTGACTTAGGTCCAGTAGGAATTTACAATCACTTAAAACTGAGAAATGTATTAGATTGATCAAGACCAAAAAAAATAATTCAGAGCTATGGTGTCACAGTGGTTATCATTGCTTTCCCCCTAGTACTGGGGTCCCAGGTTCAATTCCAAAGGTCTTATATCTGTGTAGGGTTTGTATGTTCTCCCCATGTTGGTTCCTCCAGGTGCTCAGGTTTCTTCCCACTGTCCAAAAACATACTGGCAGGTTGCCTGACTTTTGAGAAAACTAGTTCTGGTGTTAGTACAGTATGTGCATGTTTGTGTCTGTGTGTGTCCTGTGATGGACTGGCGTCCCATCCAGGGTGTATCCTGCCTTGCACTCATTTCTTGCCAGAAAAGGCTCCAGCTTCCCTTCAACCCCAAATTGGATAAAGATGTTAAAATAAGAAAATGTATCAGATTTCTTCTAATCTAATTACTTGAAATCGTAACTGATCACTTGTAATCCAGTTGCTTGTAACTGTAACAGATTACTCGTCATAAATGTCTTGCAACAGATTTCAGATTCCTTGCAACAGTTTTCAATTTTGTCGTGACAGGAAAGGATTGCTTGCTTTGTAATACTGTATGTAGTACTTATAACAGTAATTTATTGAAAGTTACTTCTAACTGTAATCAATTAAATGAAAATGAATTAAAAGTTACTTGTACTGTAACTTTAAAGATTGCCTGTAATCTGACTATTGCTACAAAAGAATACTTGTAGCAGATTACTTAATACTGTACATTTACAAATTACAAGTAACTTGTAACTTAAACATATTATTTGGAATCTGATTTCTAACTGACAATGTATAATCCAATCAATTGTCAATGTAATTGGATTCCTTGCAATGGATTCTTTGAAACAGTTTGTAGTGGATTACAAGTAATGTGTAACAGTAACAGATTATTTGTATCTGTAATGGGTTAACAGAATATTGTATTATATTGATTAGTGTAACGCATACTGTGCATAATCTGTACTCCGGGTAATTTGTAGCAGATGAAAAATTACTTATAATGCTAACAGATTGCTTAAAATTCAGATGAATTATTTTAAAACCAGATTTTCATGTAAACTAGGTCACTATCACTCAGGTGTTCTCTAAGGAAGAAGGCAATAACATGCTTCAACTGGATTGCTTGTGACCCACTTACTTGTGACCAGACTACTTTTAACTGTAATGGATTACTTGTAATCTGAATATTTGCAATGGATTATTTACTAATTTACTGGTAATGAATTCCTTGTAACAGATTCTTTGTTGTGGCAATGAAATACAAATTGATGGATTAAACATTTCTTCTACCTTCTGCAGTCTGTAACAAATTGCTTGTAAGCCGAATTACTATTACTCAGATGTTCAATAAGGAAGATGTCAACAACATGACTCAGGCAGCAATGGGAAAAGGCTCCATATTAAATTATATGAAAAGACGCAGAATTGGTAGATAGGATGCTTAATTTCTATTAACCAATACACTGTTCTACCCTCAATAGGCCAAAAATACTAATTCCCCAATGGGGATATACCCTTGACATGGCATTTGCTGTAAGGAAAATTGTAGAAAACATTGATACAGTGTGATTTCGGTGCTATGAGTATCGCTTTTGTTTTAAGTATTAGGTTCAAATCGCTTAAATCTTACTTCTCATTTTTCTTCTTGTGAGAGCCAGGTCTTTTGTTCAGATTCGGTTTCTCCAATTCCCTACCATCTGTAGATGAACTGTTTTCTTCAGGGTTTGACTCCTGTTATGAAATGTTGATGAAACTTTATTTTCGTAGAGAACTGGAAACTTCAGGGAGATACAGTATGAGTTGGGCTCCCTAGTGATACTATAGTAAAAATCTATAATAATTCCTACTGCCACTAATATGAATAAACATTTAGTAATAATCAAAGATTAGAATGGGGGATAACATCCTGGCTATAGCATTGCTATTTTCTCAATCAGATCTTTTTGTGCAATTGGTTTGTAAAAGAAGAATGAGGTTGCTTTACCTGAAACAAATTCGAGGTGCTATATATCCTCTCCCATATTTGATCGGTATTTTGTCCAAATGGATGTGATGTCACTGAGATGGGTTGTATTGGCTCTGGATCAGAAATACAGGCTGCGTGTTCCTTTAGGGAGTCCATGACCCGGTTTGGATCTGAAACCTTATTTCCAAAAATGCAAGTTACTTTGGGTTTAAAAACATAATTTTTATCTATGTATGATTTATTGCAAAGTTGTTATCCTCTGAAGGTGACATGTCATTTTGATTTTGGATTTTCTAGTTCTACATTTGTTTTTAACATTTACTTCCAGTTAATTATCTTGTACACATCTGTATCGACTAATGTGAAAAGACCAAATGCATGTTTTTCAAGTGTCATTTCACTATTATAAACCACCCTGCAACCTCACAAAGGGAGAATGAGGAAGTGTAGGCAAACTCCTCCAACTTCACCTTCTTCTTCTAAGATGTCAGAGGTAATACAGCCCTATAGTGGAGATTCAGCTCCAGGTGGATGAGAGGCATGTCTCTAACTAACTGCACCACAATCTACAAGTGTGCCAGCACCCAGGAACTCGCCAGGGTCACTGTGCTGCAGAGACCCGAGACTGTGTATCCTGGCTAATCCCTCGACTGTACCCCGCTGTTACAGTAGGATGTTATGTCATTTGCATCACACCCCAGACTCATTGCCCTCAATCAACCCCTTCATTCCAGTGCAGTCTCCGATTAAATCATCAGACACACACTCTCCCACCTGGCACAACACACCACCAGCCTGGCACACCACTCCTTGCTCAGTATTAGGTTTTTCCTAGCCAGAGCTACATCGTTTCTGTGCTTCTCTGCAAGACCTCCTAGTTTTACGGATTCCGACGTTGGCTTGTTTTCTGACTACGTCTCTTGATTCTTGATTTGATTGTTGTGGATTTTTCTGCCTTTTGACCCTGGCCTGGAGTTTGGACTCACGAATTTGGATTTGCGTGTACAAGAAAATTTATGTTTGTAGGATTCTGCATAGGGTCCTTAGACACGAAAGCGTTACATAGAAGAGTCGTGTTCAGACTCACGATCGCAGAGCTCAACCTTCACTTGGGTGAGTATGTTCACCATTTGGGAAAGACCAGTTCCCTACATTTCACATTGCCATATATCTTGTAATATATTGGGGTAATTACTTTTGATGTGTTTATACAATTAATTATTGGCTTCATAAATCTTTAGCACACAAACCAAATGTGAATATGTTTGGATGGTAATATGTATAACAGTGCAATAAATACACAGCAGGGTAACGCAGTGAGAGCTGTATGAGGGAGGATGTAGCCTTGTGCTGATTTCTTACCTGTAAAAATCTGCAATGCATTCTGAGGAGCTCATCAAGAGATCTGTGTTGCTTTAGTTTTGCAGCCTGTTTTTGTTGCCATGGATCTTGTTTGGGTTTAACCTGTTGCGGAATATTAAATACTACTGGTAGGCGAAGTAGCCTGGACATACAGTATGCAAGGGAATTCAGACCAATTATTGGTGGAAAATAAACTACACCTTGGGAAAAAGTTCCACATGTGGAGTCATTCAGTATTTAGCTGTTGGGGGTTATAATAGCACAGGTGGAAAATTATAGTAACACAAAGACAAGAATTAAAAGCATCTGGATGGGGTACAGTATACAGCTTTTATATCTAGCTATCAAATTACAAAAGTTGTGTGTACAGGGAACTGCCTTGTATTCAATCCTTTTTCAAAACAAATTTTCCAAACTTAAAAATTCAGATTTTTAGATCCTAGACACATTTCCTAAACAGCAGGAGAAATGATCGGAATATTTACCCGAATGAATGGAATCCAGGTGGCCTCCTTCTTCAGAGCCATGCTTGGCTTCTTCTTTCCCCAATGCTCTGTTCCTGTATCTGTGGAATTGTACACTGGAAAAGTCTTCATTGTCTCTTGCATTTTGAATACAGTCCGGAATTCACGGGAGACCTAAGGAGATAAAAAAATAACATCAGTGATTAACAAATACCAGACACCTTTCTGACATATTTTCATGACACTACAGTTTAATGTCCAGACAGAAAGACACAACTTTCTTTGAAAGTCTGCGAGATCTTTGATCTTTGAAGGAGATGCTTTCTGCGGAGAGTCATTCCAGTTAATTAGGGATATTCTATATAACACTGTCTCTTGTCAAATATGGCCAAACAGTACCTAATGTCTGCTATGGGACAATGTCTAACTTAAATGTTTAACTGGATCACTCGAGATTTTTCTGATTGAGCACTGACATGACTTATAGCCGATTTGTGGTAGACAAATTTGTGGTGTCCTTGTGAATCTTTTTTCTTCATGGTGGAAACAGCACTGGCAGCTGTAATGTTTAGAATACTAACTACATTTAATTTGGAAAATATTCAGACTTGTTAAGGTTGGTAAGATATCAGACTTCTTTTCTAGTGTGTTCTGAGGTTTTCAAAACATAGGTAGCACCTGTGGAGGCTATGAATTACCATTGAAAACAATTCCATCTCATTTGCAGTGTTTTTGATGTCCTTTGTGTTGTAGTCAATGTTGAAGTGGGATATCATTTGCTGAAGCTGTGATTCAAACTCTTCCAATCTTTTTCTGTGGGTGGGGAGCTCCATGTGCTCACTGAAAAATCCTACACAAACCACAATCACTGCTTAGTTCAACTGTCCCCCACCGCCCACTTCCGTTGCACATATGCATTTGACACACTTAAATAAATCTACTGAGCTTATTTGACATCAATAAACTGAAGAGGCCTATGCAACACATCGATAAAAGATAAGATTTATTAATAGTGATCGTGCTAAGGAATCACTTAATTTAATTAAGAAAAGTCCATATTTTATTTGAAAGGTCTTTTTTAAAAGCTGATAGATGAAATAAAGATTTCTAAAATGCAATATAAAAACCATAACCTTTGAATAATATAAAGTATTGTGAATTCATACCTTGTTCAGCCTTTAAATAACTTCAGCAATGTCAATAAGTTATGGAGAAAGTAACATTTATAGCACCTAATAAAAGTAAATTAACTTCACTAATCATTTCAGACTCAGAGTAACAAAAAGGTAATAAAATGTAGAACTTGCAGTATAAATGCAACCAGGAACAAATTACAAAGAACAGAATTTACAGAAGTATCCTACCTTCTGAACTTGTTCCAGTAGCAGGCATACTAACGAAAGACATCAAGAGAGACCCATTGGGATATGACGGGGGAGATGGAGATTTCCCTAGCAAACAACATTTAATTTCCCTTTAACAGTCAGGTTGGAAACATGCAATTTCACAATCATGACTACAGAGAGTGCAGTGGTTAGCATTGTCGTCTCGCAACAATGTGGCCGTGGGTGCTATTCCCTGACCTGGGGTACTATCTGCATGGCGGTTTGCATGTTCTCACTGTGCTAGCATGCTTTTTCTCCAGGTGCTCCTTCTACAATCTAAAAACCCTGGTAGGTAAACTAGCTGTAGTCATGTGTCTGTGTCTATCTGCTCTTCAATGGCCTGGTGTCCCACCCAGGGTGAATCCTGCCTTGCTCCCAATGCTTGCTGGGATAGGCTCCGGCTGCCCTGCAACCCTGAACTGGATGGAACAGTTATGAAGACAGTAAGCTGTGGTTTGTACCACAGTGGGGTTGTGGGGAGATAGTGAAATGGATGGATTACAAATCAATACACAAAGTGAATCTTATTGTAAGGTACAGGAATACGTTGGTAAGAGTGGCACTTTGGTTGGAAGAGTATCTTAGAAAAGTGACTCTCTGTTGTTAATGTTTATCCTTGGATAGTAAGAGTATAATTTCCTGTAATGGTTACATAACGTTGTAACACAGCAAAGACTGTAAGAACACTGACATTAGAATCTGGTTGCAATGTCCCTGAATAATGTCTTTAATGCCTATTATAACCATCGTAATAAACATAGTTTATCATTTTTTTTAGTTGGTTAATTCATTTAAATTATTCGGTGGTTATAACTAACCAAATTAACCTCTTAGTTCACCAAAGACCACTTATGATCACAAAAACATAAGCATGCTATAGGTGTAACTCATAATGCAGAGGACCTCTGAATGTTGCAGGTATAGTGAATACTGCGTGAATCCTGACAAACAAGACAATCCAATAGTTAGGATGACAAAAAACCGTGACAGATTTAGAACAGCTCCTGTTACAATTTAACACAGTGCACTGATGCTTTTGAAGGTATGAATTAGCTGATGTTACCTGCAGAGGTGCAGTGCCTAGACTGAGCTGTGTTTGGCCGTGCTGACAGTCTTGAGAAAGACGACATGGGATCACGGAGGCTGGCTGTGTCTACGGGAACAACCCCCCTCTGTGTATCCTTCTCCCTCTCAGACACAGGCACATACTGCAGCACCTAAGATTTTTAATCACGCAACATTAATTTATTCCAGGGGAAAAAGAAAAGCTTTGTTGGAGACGAATAGTACCTTCTTAACAGAGTGACTGTGAAAGCACCACAGTACATATAGTTTTACAAAATCTAACAAAGAAATGTGAAATAACATAACCTAGTCTGTGGTGTACTTCAATCAAAAATAACACTAGCCAGAAGACAGGTTGAGCCCTATAGAGCAGGTGTCATTAGCTCAATAAACTTGACTGTGATTCATACTGCACAAGATGAAATCAGTGGATCAATTATCTACTGAAAAAAACAAATAGGCCAAATGGCTCTCCTCTTATTTTGAACCATTCTGATGTTTAGCAGTATCTTTGACCTACTGGGCAAGTGTGAGACTGCAGTGTTATCAATAAAGCCTTATCAATTGGAAAAACACTATGGTCTGCTGTGATTAATGTGAATAATGCTACTGACTCAAACATTTAGGAGGACAAGATGGGTAATCACGTTCCCTCCTCTCCAGTTCGAGAAGTTGAAAGCAGTTATGAAATTAATAAACAATGCAAAATCTGATTAAATATGCTGGAGTATCTAAGATTTTTATAAAAGCAGTAAGTCTGATGCAATTGTTTGCCATTATAGTGTCAGTCATTATAGCCCAGTGTTTTGGAATAACATAGTGTTTCGGAACTGAAAGCTATAGTTTCACTAGATTCCTACCTTAGACATGGCTTCTCCATAGGTTATAACAACTATACATGAGATGCTAGGATTGAAAGCTTTATTCCAAATAGGGAGAGGCTAAGAGAACATTGTCCCAAAGTCAGACTTGGGCAAGCAGTGCCTTCTTACCTGGAGGTAACTGTGAATGGTCTTGAGTGAGTGGAGGTGACACACCAGCCACTGCAGGTAGATAACTATGTCTTCCGGAGTGACAGCATTGATGGGATTTCCACTGCCTGTCAAAACTCGCTCCCTTGATACAGACAGTCTCCGGGCCCTCTGCACAGCATCCTCATACTCGCCCATCAAACGACTTACCTGTTTCTGGGAATAACACATTGAACCAACCATCACTCAACATAAAAATGAGACTTACTGAAGGAGCAGGTGCACCCTCACATCTGATCTAAGCAAAAGTGTCTGTTTCTGTTTATATTATAGAGAACTAATCATATGATCAACTGTATGAGCCAGGAGAGAAGACAATAACCCAGCGCATTAATGCTGAGGGCATTTAAGCAACATTATCCCTACTTTGTACAATTAGCATTTTGGAAACTGGAATGCTACCTTGGGAAGACATTACTGTGCGTTCAAACACCATCTATCCATGATTGGATATGTTCAATGGATTCAGCTCTGTACAGCAAATGCTTTGAAAACCACAAGACATGTCTCCTCACCAAGCTAAAGGTGAAGCTCCAACTCTGTGATAATTCTTGCCCATCCAGAATACACTTAATCAGAAAACAACAGGATGCAATAAATAACACATACTGTAGTTCAGCAGTCCAACTGTCAGGCAGGGGCTAAACACGCATCATTTATAGGCCACATAGAAACACAGGGTCCAATGCTCATAAAATGTCACAGATGTACTGTATTCAAAATGATTTTAACTGGTACTTGACATGATTCTGACTAACTGGGAGTCATTTTTTTTACTTCTGAGAACACAGATTTTTGAAGCAGGGATTAGGAAATTTCTTCCAAAGGTGTCCGAGGTAGGGTTAGGGTTAGTGTTGCAACAACACTCAGACATTTTCTAATGCATCTGCCATTCTTAGGATGTATTTGCAGTGCAGGAAAGGTGTTGTTTTGTTGATTCCTC